CGCCAAACCTAGGCACTCACCGCGTCGGCGGGTGTGACGCGGGCCAGCAGGCTGGATGGCACGAGCCAGGAGTTGGGCCCGCTCGCGCCAAGTTCGCCGAACGCTCCCGGCAGACCAAGGCCCGCCTGCACGACGAAGGGGCCCCTCCTGCGAGCTGGTCGCGGGGCCACCCGACAGGAGCGGACAGCGCCTCGCGGCCCTACAGCTCTACATATTTCATGTATCCTCCAGGATGCCTTATTAACCGCAGCTGGCCGCGTCTGCAGCATGTTGCGCTTGCCGCGTGCTGATCAAACCAGACCAGCGGTGGTTTGATGAACGGTGCCGCTCCGTATAATGCAAAAACAGATGAAAATAACACGAAACGCCGTTGAGCTTCTGACCTTCTTGCGGCCGAAAGAAAGCAGGATTACTGATTGCTGTCGGAGCAGTCCGCAACAACTCCTTTGCCTGCAGCTCGTGGCTTCCTGAATACTTACTTCATAGGTATGATCTGTAGATGAATCTTTGCAGAACGCACGGTTCTCTTGATCACAGCCTCTGTCACTTTGGGTTTGCGGCACATGCAGTCCTCCTGAGCATCTGATCTCCTGCTCGTGCTTGCTTTCAGCTGTATCATCCATGCATGGAGCCAAGTGTTGCTGCACTAGAAATCAACGTTCATGTCTGTCTGGTGGTTTGTAAGACCTTGATGCCAGGCCAGCCGCGGCGGGATAGCGGACTGGGCGGGCCAGCAGAGCAGGCTGCTATCAGTGATCCACAGCCCCATGCTACTGACCCGAAAGTGGACGCTTTTTCTCAATCTTACTTGTGATTTTGACGGCTTGATTGCCGCCAGTCGCCGTGCACTTGCTGGTGATGTGGAAAGTAATCATTCAAAACTGCCAAAATACGGCTCGGACTGGCGGTGCTGCTGCGTGCTGTGCATGGGTGCAGGCGGCGAGCGCCGGCAGCGGCCGTGTAAGAAGTGCTCCGCAGAGACAAGCGCGCACACGCCCAAAGTAATGCACGTACACGCAGGCTGGTGAAAGACACGACACGCGGAGGCCTTCATCGATTGGCCACCATGGTCGCCTCTGGCTGAGCAGGCTTGCGCCGACGGAGGTGGCCGCCCGACGGCCCCTGCACCAGGCGCAGCGGCCCACGCGCGCAGTTGAGCGTTAAGTGCAACGTGCCTGCAGCGATGGACGGCGGCAACAGGGTGGGCACATCCACTACGGCGAGGGCGGCCGGGCCCTGTCAATGGCGACGCAAAAGGCTGAGTGCAAGGCGACACTAAAAAAACACCTGGCTTGGTGCGTGCCAGTGGCAAGAGATGAGATGGAACGTAAGGGCGGCAAGCAGCAGTAAAAAAACCCTTGAGACATGAGTTGCTTTGATCGGCTGGGAGCGGTACGTGGAAGGGGGGGGGGGTTGCTGCACACCAGCAGCCACCACAAACCGCACCAGGCAGAGCGTGACAGTGACGCGGGGCGACGGTGATACGCAGAATCGTGGGGGTGGCTGGCTGCGTGGCGATGCGGGCCGCTGTCGCAGCGGCGCGCGGCGCACGTGGGACACTGCTGCAGCGCGGGCACGCCGCGACAAGCACGGGTGTCGCCCCTCATGGCCGGTCAACAGCTCGCGATCGAGGCAGCTGGCTGCGAGACGCTGGATCGCGGCCGGACGCGGGCGCACGCCCGACATGCATGCGTGCCAAGCAAGAAGCGATGGTTTGCAGTTTGTGAAGAGGAAGCCTAGAATGTCTAGATGTGCGATGCCAACCAGCCCAGTGCGCTATATGGCTGCAGCGCATCCAACCGTATGGGTCGGCGGCCGATCAGAGTTGCTGAGGTGCCGGCAGCTGTGCCCAACAACGGCCGTCCAAGGCGGTAAGTGGCCGGCGCAACCCTAAAAAGCCCTAAGCTCTCTGCACCTTGCAAATGGGCAAAATGTTGTATGAACCCTTGCTTCTTGCACCATAAGCCTTGGCGTGCCAGCCATTGGTGGCGTTGGGCAAACACCGCAGTAAGCTGTGCCGCGCAGGCCTCCCAACTCCAGTAGAGCTTACCACTTCGGCGCTGCCAAGCGGACCGGGCTGCCGCCAGGGCAGCTCAACAGGCAGCGCGGGTGCGTGGTGCTTATCAGTACCGCCGCTACATATGCTGCTGCTGCCGCCGCCGCTGCCGCCGCCGCTGCTGCTAGCCCTGCCGCCGCCGCGGCTGCAGCCGCTGCTGCCGCCGCCGCTGCTGCTAGCCCTGCTGCGGCCGCGGCTGCAGCCGCTGCTTCCGCCACCGACCGCCTGCAGCTGTCGCTGCGCTGTCGTGACGCCGCGCGTCTGCGCGCCCTGCCAAACGACGGGCAGCGCCAGTGCTCAGACCCTCCGCGGGTCATCCAGGCCGTGCTTGTCCTGCGAGTCGCACGCACCACACAATACGGTGCGCAGGGGCCGGCCGTGACGTCGCCATCGGGGCTTGGCAGATGCAGGGCCAGCGGCTGTGTTGAACGCACCCGCTGCGGCAAGGCGTGAGCAGTGGGCATCGGCCGCCCCGACTCCTGTACAGCCCAGCGGCAGCCGCAAGCACCCACAGCACGAGCTGCTCGTCTTGTAGCTGAGCGCCAGAAGCAGCTGCTCCCGAGATGCCCTTGAAAGGCTGCCCTCTTGCCTATGGCACCCAGCCCGCACGCAAACGTCCCCTTTTCCCAACACAGCAGCCCTCAGGGCAGGACACAGCCGCGATCAGGACACAAGACAGTCGCAATCAAAATGCGAGGCAGCAGATTGCCCCCAGGATCATCCGAAAGCACGCGCACCAAGAACTTGTGGACCTCCGCCAGCAACGCCGAGAACTGGTCAACGTACGCCGCCATGTCAGCAGCCGTCCTGCCGCAGTACTTGCCGCCAGCCAGGCGGTTCAGAAAAGCCTCGCGGCTGGGCACGAATGCAAAGGCCACCTGGAAAGCAAACGTCAGGGTGGCAGGGAGGGGGGCGACAGGTGCGCAGGGACCGTCGGGCAGCATGCGTGACGACCCCGGCGTGCGCTGTGTGCTGCGGCTCGCCCGCGTCGGACGCGTTGCCGCCGACCTGCCGGTGCTGCCCAGCCGGCAGGCTGCGTGCACCTGGCTACCACGCGTAAAGCATGCGCCCTTCCTCTTCCCTAACAGGCGGTGCGAGCACGGCCCCTGGCCATCGTAACGCATATACGTACACCCCAAATCCCGGGCCAGCAGCTGCCGCACTCCAAAGCACAGGACCAGGCTACCTCTCGGCGCGACCTTCATAGACCGCTCAGCTGAGGAGTTCCCACCGTGAAAGCCGAAGATGTGAGGAAGCCGTGCCACCGGTGGATCGTTTTGTGGTAGATTTCGCCCACCACGTCCGACATAGCGGCGTCGGGGCGCTCCTGCAGGGCCGCCATGATCGCGAGCATGAACTCCATGCCCCTGTTTGGAAGCGAGGTGGAGGGATGGGGGTGGGAGGTTGTGGTAGGGGTGAGCAAGAGTTGGGGTGGGGGCAAGGGTGGAAAGTTCGGGAG